CAGACAGCGGCGCAGTGACGTATGATGTCATACTAGTTTGCTTGTTTTCTGTTGAGGAGTTCTATCCACTAGTTTGGCTTTAGGTAGCAATTTTCACCAGAATAGGGGTTTGTTTTGGAATGCTTACCTTTCTGGATGCTTGACCCGGTCGATGGCAGACATAGAATGCTTCCAACCACACGGGGGTTTCTATAGGCCATTGCTCCCCTTGCCTCTCTGAGGGGGCCAGGTTCTGGCCGTGGTCCCCGGTAGGCCCTAGAACTCCATACACATCACTGATGCCAAAGTCTGACATTAGCATATCAGCCGGTAAAGCTCCGAGGAGCCGACGGGGCTCCCCCCAGAAAAGCACAATGTCTCCAGGAGGAACAGAACCGGGCGCTGTGTGTAAGGAGACAAGCTACACAGTGCCTTGCGCCCCTACCAGCGACGATACTACTTCCTATCCAAAGTCAAACAGCAGCTATAAAAACCCCAGCTGACCACCAAGGGCGGGCAATCACCGAGCAGCAAGAGATCCCTACTAAGATAGTTCCCAAACGGCTTATAGAAGATAACCCTAAACCACAAGGGCAATACTTACAGGGCATCTAGGGAAGGGAGACCTAGGCACATGCAGCCCCAGTACTTTGTGAATTATTCCTGGCTCGCACACCACAACACAGCAGAATAACAACGCAAGAGCACAGCACTGCACAGAGTCTGGAGCCAGGAATCGAACGACTGCCACCAAGCACAACGGCCTCAGAACTGAGGTTGGATAGCTGGCACGGGGATCTCGAGCCCCCTCCCCCTTCTTCCTCTTGGAGAGGGGCTGCATGCGGCAGCCTGTGTGACGTCATGCTTGTTTGCTTTTTTTCAGAATGGGGAGTTTTGCTTAGCAGTTTGGCTTTCAGTTGCAATGTTTCACCAGTTGGGGTCTGTTTTGGGATGCCCACCTTTCTGGGTGCCTAGCCCGGTCGATGGCAAACATAGAATGCTTCCAACCACAGGGGGGTTTCTATAAGCCCTTGCTCTTCATGCCTCTCTGAGGTGGCCAGGGTCTGGCTCTTGGTCTCCAGTAGGTATTAGAACTCTATTCAAAGAACTGTTGCCACAGTCTAATATATGCATATCAGCCCGGTAAGCTTCAGGAAGCCAGAGGGGCTCTCCACAGAAAAGGAGCAAGGAACACAAAGCTACATGTACCCTACATGTACAGTAAGACATACGATGGATGAACAAGCAATTGGCAAAAATCGACAAAATTGGCAAAGCACTGACAAAATTGACAAAGAAGAACTTTTGAAAACTAACTCTTCAAGAACAATAAAACATAGGTTCAAATGAAACAAAACTGCTGAAAAAACATCAGAAAGTTCACTTTTACAAACAGTTGTAGACAATTGGAACAAGTTAAGCAAGAAGATGGTGGATGCCAAAACACAGTCATCTCTGTGTACAGTACTGGAGTCTTGGTAGATATATGGGCAAGACTAATATAGTTTCAATCTACAAAAGTGGCAGCAGGGAAGACCCTCTTAATTATAAACCTGTATCATTGACAAGTGTAATAATAGTCAAAATATTGGAAAACTTGTTAAAATCAAATGGGTAGAAAACCTGGAGAAAAACTATATACAGAAATAACAAACAGATGGTTTTTGATTTAGTAGATCCTGTGTAACAAATCTCCTTAGTTTCTATGATAGAACCACAGATTTTACAGGAAAAAGATGGCTGGATTGACTGCATTTATCTGGACCTATAAAAAGGGTTTTGACAGAGTCCCGCATAAAAGGTTGTTCTGGAAAGTAACAAATGGAGAAGAAACAGGGAAGCTCCTAACATGGGTGAAAAAATTACCTAACTGAAAGAAAAATGAGGTCAGTAATCAGTGACTGGAGACATGTCACTTATGGAGTACCAAGGTGTTCAATTCTTGTACCGGTAATGTTCACTGTCTACATAAACAATCTACCAGAAGGAACACAGAATTACATGAACCTGTTTACTGATGATGCTAAGCTACTAGGGAGGATAATAATGATTGTCATGCCCTTCACAAAGACCTGGACAAAGTAAGTATGGAACAACACTTGGCAGATGGAATTTAATGTGAATAAATGCCACATTAAGGAATGTGGAATAGGAGAAAATAGGCCACACACAACCTACAAATTATGTAAAAATAGCTTTTTAGAACTCTGATAAAGAACGAGATCTAGGGATGGTCTTTGATAGAAAATTCAACAGAAGACCACAAAGAACATTGAATAAGCTGCCTATGCTATGCTTTCCAACATCAAAACTGCCTACAAATACATGAATGGCAAAATATTAATGAAATTGTTCACAACCTTCATGAGACTAAAACTGGAATATGCAGCGGTTGTATAGTGCCCATATCTTAAGCACATAACTAAGCCAGAAAAGGTGCACACACATAATGAAGCTAGAAAAGGTCCACACACACACAAACTAAATGGTTCCTGGAAATGAAAAACAAAAGCTATGAAGAGAAGCTAAAGGTGTTATATATATCAAAACCAGAAGATAGAAAAAAGGTGATATGATCACTACGAACAAAACAGTAACAGGAATTGACAAAATTGATAGAGAACAATTCTCGAAACCTGCATTTTCACTATCAAAAGGTCATAGACTATAGCTAAGAAAACAAACCTGCCTAATAATTTTTTAAAACATCAAAAGTTTGATGCTTTCACAACAAAACATTAGTTTCCAAAACAGGAAAAACTTGATAATAATCCAGGATGCATCAAAACATCATCATTTTTCCATCTTCTTGTGTGTGTGGTTTGGTCATCAAAATTTTTGAAAGTTCTCTTTTTTACAAACAGATTGGCAGATGGTTGGAAAAATTTAATTGAGAAGGTGCTGGAGGCCAAAAGCATTGTTTCAAAGCACTGTATGACAAAGATTAGTGAGAAGATGGGACACCACGAGCGAAGCTCTCATCCTGTAACTACACTTAGGCAATTAATTATACTTAGGTAATTACATAGTTAGGCAGTCAAGGTGCAAGGGAAGCATTTCAACTTGAATACAGTACTTATTTCGAGCTTTCGAAAAGAGAGACTTGAATTCCAATCAACAGGCTCCTTACCACCCTGTATAGCAGGTATATCTGGAGGGGGTACAGGGTAACACAAGCCGATCCCCAGAGAATATAATCCTAACCATGGTCAGAGAAAATGGGAATGCTAGGACACACTCAATATGGGTGGAATAAGCATAATAATTTAGAGTAAATTAAAATAAACAAAGCCATAGCCACAGGTAGAACTAACATTCCAGGAAAGCTGGAAAGCAAGAAGCTGATGACATGTTCAACAAAAGCAAACAGATGTTGAACCAATAACACCAGGTGGACCAGTAAGAGGTCAGGTTAGCTTAACTTTCGGGTGACGTAGCCTGCCACCTGGTGGTACTCAGGCACATTAGTCAGTATTTACTCCATAATATGCCTTTTTCACTTAGGCTGCTAATTTAATTAATTGAGGAGTGTCTAAATTATCTGAAATATATACCTCTAGTATAAATTTGCTCTTAGGATAGAACTAAAAAGTCCAATTTATACAAGATATCATTATCTTGTATATACTTGAATGCTTCCCTGCAAACACACAACCTAACTGTCCCTATTTTCCACTTGTTACAACTTTATTACAAGTTGTAACATCTTGCTATAACATTTTTATAACTTATTAGAATGTTGTTACAACTTGCAATATTGGTTGTTACAACTTGTTAGGTGAAACCTTGTTCGAACATTGTAGCAACGTTGTAGCTTCGTCGTGTCTTTGGCGGGTTCACTGTAAATTTGATGTAAGATTTGTCTGTCATATTCAAAATACATACCTAAGCTTTCAACATTTATTGGAATAATCAAACAAGAAGAATATTAAAAAAAATGGAATTTAGTACAAAACAAATTGTGCACCAAGATGTCCTGAAAACCGGTCCATCTAATTACCCAAAACCACCCAAAGCTTCCTGACATTATGTTAGTTATGAATAAATATTATATATATGCTCATTATGATGATGGTGCTGAATGTAGAACATGGAAAAACATGTTTTTATTCTGAAAAAAGTATCATTTCATAATGAAATTAGATGAAAATAAGCTGCTGGTGATGCCAAAGCAAGTCGATGGTCCAAGCGACAATGTTGTGGAGCGACTTATCCAAGATATAATGTTGTGTACAGGTTATTAACTTAGGTTTGGATAGGTTATGTTTGGATAGGTTATGTTTGGATAGGTTAGGTTTGGATAGGTTAGGTTTGGATAGGTTAGGTTTGGAGAGGTTAGGTTTGGAGAGGTTAGGTTTGGAGAGGTTAGGTTTAGTTAGGTTATGTTTGGGTAGGTTGGTTAGGTTGGTTAGGTTGGTTAGGTTAGGTCGGTACAGGAGGCCGATATGCCAACAAATACTCTTTAGGCAACAATGTATCTTGGATAAGTCGCTCCACAACATTATCGTTTGGATGGTCGACTTCCTTTGGCGTCACCAGCAGCTTATTTTCGTCTAATTTTGTCATGAAATGATACTTTTTTCAGAGTAAAAATATGTTTTTCCATGTTCTACATTCAGCACCAACATTATAATGAGTAAATATATCATATTTATTTTCATATTTATAAATATATCATATTTATTCAATACTAGCATAATGCCAGGAAACTTTCGGTGGCTTTCAATGGCTTTGGGTAATTAGATGGACCCATGAAAACATACAATGCTAACATCTGTTGGTATAGGACAAATACTTTCAACAGGAGGAATCTGTCCGGAACATCCCCATTCTGAACCAAGCCAGCTGTTCCCTATAGTCCACATTCCTTGGTTTCACATATAGGAATAGTCACTTGAAAATATCTAGAATACATAATAATACCAGGTATTTATACTGATCAACTAACTTCCAGCATTTCTCTTTTAAAACAAATTTATACAACTTGGAAAAATTTAATTTTAATAATTCTGATGACCTACATGTGCGAAGATACTGCAAAGCTGCCACTTGCAATTGAGGAGATATCTGTACACGCTTTAGATTTGGCTGATTGGCCGGGTGGGAGAACTCTGTAAAGTCTGGTCGGCCAATGTGTAGACGACGACGTTTAGTGCGATTGTCAGCTGGAATAAATGAAAGACATTGAATTTGGGGCAAATTAAATCTTATTTACATTCTTCTTACCCTTTAGCTGCAGTCTTTATGGGAATAGAAGACAAATTTATCCCTTGTGCAATAAAATGGAGAAACATATCAATATTAAATTTATATTAATAATTTCAATCATTTATATTGGGGTGGTCCAACAACAGGCTTAGAGCCATGATTTTTTGTGGCACACAAGCATTCATTAATGCAGAATACAGTATAAATTTAGTCTATAAAAAACATATTATCAACAACTATCAGTTGTCAATTAAAAGTGTTCCTGTACAGTAACTCATTATTGACACGTCAGCAAAGCTGGTGTTAAAACGTGCTATAGAGCAGCAACTAATCAAAATGATAAACATTTGAACAATGCACAAGGCTTGAAAAAAACAATAGTAGTCAGGTACACATTAAATGACATTATGAAATTACTACAAACTTCTAATTATAACAAGCATTTGTGGCATTTCTTCTCAGTGAATTGGTTTATCATTGCTTGAAGTCAGTGGTCTTCAGAATGTCATTTTCCATGCACAAGAGTGAAAGCCAGTTCAAACGATGCTGTCCCATTATACCTGGAAGCAAATTTTGTATAAGTTTCAGTCTTGAAAAAGAACATGCAGTTGGTCACCATCATGCACATGAACACTGAGTGCAATTCCAACATTCAGGAATACAGATTTTAAATTGCCCAAAAATATTTTTCTGTACAGTGCAGGGAGAGTTTCTCAGTTTTCATCAAAAGCCATGTAGTGCTTGAGATGCTCATGTTCATTTAAAAGGTCATCATAATTCAGGTCTTTGTGATACATATTAGCCAGATGTTCATACTTTTCTCTAGTGCATCTGAAGCAATGGATTTCAATTCACTGACGAAAGAAAACAGATTTCCAATTTGTTAATAAGCCTCGGCACATTTTGTCAGTTCAAAGAATAGTGTGTCCAGAAGAGGGAGGAAAGTTTCCACCTTAAATTTTTTGGTTTTAATGAGAAGTACCTCTTCTGCTGATCCATCATATCTACCAAGATGCACATTTTGTTTTTGTTCCTGTTTTTTCCCCATCACTGAAATCTGGACACATACTCCTGGCTTTGAATTCAGATTCACTAAATTTGTCTCTAGTTTCCTGAAGTTAGGTTTTCATAGACTCAAGAAGATTCGTGTCAACAAGGATGTCCACATCCTTTGATTGCAGGACCTTGTTTGTTTTGATCTTTTTTAGAAAAAGATTGTTCCGGGTTTTCCATTTTTTGCTCAATCCTGCCTCTCACCTTTTATTCACTTGCTGTTCATTGTCAGTCGACAGAGAATCCAGTGCATGTTTTTATTTTCTCGAAACCCCCCATACAAAGCATGAACAGCATCAAAATGTGCTTACCATCATGTATCAGACAGATGCTTGACCACAATCTTTTCCTAATAATGATGTCAATACATTCCAGTGATGAGTAGAACCAGAAAAAAATGAATACAGATGCTGAACAAAGTTAAAGAATTTGACAGTCTGTAGACAAAACACTGCTGCTTTTACTCCCACCAAGTTCAGGCTGTGTCCAGCACAGGGAACATGGACATGGAGCCAAAACTTGGCTCCCTCAGAGAGGCACAGGGAGCAATGGTCTATGAAAACTCCACTCTTTGAGAGTATATTCGTGTTTGCCATGAACTGGGTTAAGGTAACCAGATATCGGGGGGTCCCAAAACAAACCCCAACTGGTAGAAAATTGCAACCCAAGACCGAACAGAGCCCAAGAACTCCCCCCCCCCCCAAAGAAAAACAATGCAACAAGCAAAACGTTATCAAACCGACACGTCACTCATTTGCCACATCCCCAAGAGGGGCAAATTGTGGGACAAAGCATAGGCAAACACAGAAACCCCCCCAGACCAGCAAAAGGGACGGAGCCCCCTTCTGAGAAGCCAACTTATGTGCAGAGCGACTACAGCGCCGACCAGACAAAGACAACTCAGGAGCTGGCAACAAGGGCTGACCTCGACCTGCCGAAACCCAAGCCCTGGCACAACCCATTGGAGAAGCATGAGAATGCCCACCCTGGATCACCAACAAATCAGAAAGAGTTAATTTTCTGACAAATAAATATTATATTATTTTATATATATATATATATATATATATATATATATATATATATATATATATATATATATATATATATGTATGTGTGTGTGTGTGTGTGTGTGTGTTGTACCTAGTAGCCAGAACGTCGTACTCGGCCTACTATGCAACTGCCAATTTGCCTAATAAGCCACGTTTTCCTGAATTAATATATTTTCGAATTTTTTTCTTATGAAACGATAAATCTGTCCATTTCATTATGTATAAGTTAATTTGTTTAAATTTGAGTTAAAACTAACGTAGACATATGACTAAACCTAACCAACCCTATCTAACCTAACCTACCTTAACCTCAACCCGTTCTCGCAAATTCGTAAAGTCAATATTGACTTATTAACACTTTCGCGCTTTAGATTAGAGATAACTCGTCGCCGTTTTTTCTTACGATTCCGCATAACAGCCTACTTTTCTCGTCCATCGAAAAAATATTTCTATAAATTCCATTTTTTAACCGAAATGGATGGGGATACTCTCAGATTTTTCTCCATGAAATTCCCGTTCTCCCTCACCGAACACATGGCGAGGAATGGCCAACAACAACAAGCATACCACATGTTCCCGACATAGATACCAGCGCAGCTCCTCCTGCTGACGCGGCAGTTTCAACACCCGGCACATCTGGTGCGAGGCGTCCTCTGTTCACCTCAACACCTCAAGCCCACTCATCAACCACAAATTCTGAAATGGACATTGAGGACACAGAACCACTTGATGTTTCTGATTTCATAGAAGATTCTACTACAAGTTTGGTGGTTCCTGTAGAAGACAATATTCCTCCAGTGCATCCAAGAAATACAAGAATTATAGATTCAGAACAACGTCTCAACTACAAGTTGACGCATGAACTCGTGCACTTGGCTAAAAAAAGAAGATGCCGTGTTTGTTTCAAGTCTGGCAAAAGGAGGGACGTGATATATGGATGTAAAACTTGTGATGTGGCACTGTGCGCTGCGCCTTGCTACACAAGATACCACCAAAGAAAGATATTTTGGGTGGAGAAAAAATAACCACCGGCAACAGCTTCACTCCACCTAAGAAACATCAGATGAGCAACTTCAGGATCAGAAGCCTGAAGATGGTGGAGTGAAGAAAAAATGCTCAACTGTTGATCTTCAATCAACATAGACAGGGTAAGCACACCTATTTGTAATTTTTTATAATCTATAAGAAGTTATATTATATACGTTTTGTAGAGAATTTATTTGCGAATTTTTTGGTACCAGAATGAATATTATATCACATAAACTTCTATGAGTAAAAAAAAAAAAACACAAAGTATGTTTGGGGGTGTGGCGGGTGTGGCTCTGGGTGTGGCGGGTGTGGCTCTGTGTGTGGCGGGCGTGTGGCAGTGGGTTCCCTTTAGCCGTTGATATATCCAACACGTGGGAAATATTTGTATGTGTTATGTATATGTCTGTGTAGGGAATTTTACTGCGATCACTGTCATACAAATTATAAAATGTTTCAACAAGTATAAACATGACAAACATCAAACGAACGAAAACAATGCGTTCGTTTCTGCCGCGAACGCATACTGAGCGACGTGGTTCTATATTTGGCGCTTCTCTTACACATGCTTTGTACAAATGTTATACATTTCATCTTATAGAAAATTTTATTGCGAACACATTGGTATAAAAAAGAAATACATACATAGAAAAGTAGGGTCAGGAAACGTATAAATGTATAAACTTTCCAAGCATGATTTCCCCCCCTGTGTTTTTGCCAGTGCGCTCGCGGCTAACTACTCTCCACTTCACACACTCTTGCGGGTGGGCAATTACCTATATTAAACATTCATATGCATATGTCCGTGTAGAGAACTTTATTGCGATTCCAATGATACCAAAATTAGCGATGTAGGACAACTGTAGGCTTCGCAACCATTAAGAGAGTGGAAACATTTTGCTGCTGTTTGGTGCTCTCGGCGAGTGATCTGCATAGTTTTTTATTTGGTGTTGATACTCCTTATGCTTGGGCGGCAATTTATAGGTATGCTCTTATAGACAATTTCATTGTGAACACAGTGATACCAAATTTAAATACGTGCGCCTTCAATTATTGTCAGGACAGTCAAAAGAGTGTACACTTTTTCGGTCTTACCGCATAGGCGCGCGAAGTGCCGAAAGCATCTGGGGTATTGATTTTTTTTGAGCGCTGAGAGCGCGAAAGTGTTAACTACGTGCATAGGTGATATACTAAACATAATAGATACCCTTAAAAAGATTCATAGAAAACACCGACCTTACCTAACCTTGTTAGTATCTTAAGATAAGCATCTTATTGCTTCGTAATTACAATCATTACTTAACCTGTACCTATTATAGGTTAGGTAATAATTGTAATTCCGAAGCAATAAGATGCTTATCTTAACATACTAAGTAGGTTAGGTAAGGTCGGTGTTTTCTATGAATCATTTTAAGGGTATCTATTATGTTAAGTATGTCACCTATGCACATATTTAATTAGTCAATATTGACTTATTAAATTTGCGAGAACGGGTTGCTTAACCTAACCTAAACTAGCACAACTAAGTCAATAATTCATGTTCTTAATATATTAATAATTAAAATAAACTAATTGGAAACAATTCTGAAAAAAAATCACTTGGCCTATTAGGCAAATCTGGCCTTGCATAGTAGGTCAAGAAGTGCGTTCTGGCTACTAGTTACGACATATGCACATACATATTTTATTTATTTTTAATAAATAAATAAATAAATAAAATTATATATATATTTATATTTATATATATATATATATATATATATATATATATATATATATATATATATATATATATATATATATATATATATATAATATATATATAT